ATTTTTTATCAAGTTCAGATGGCTATAAATAGAAATTTCGTGTTTTCTGTATAGGGTATATACGTAGACGATTGCCTAGTTTCAAATATCTTCATTCTTACGAATTCACACTGCTATTACTGATATAAGGGTTATATTGATATATACAGTGTGTAGAATGAAAGAAATCCTTGATTCAAATTTCATGTTCTCTAATTCAGACCTGCTTGCTGAAATACAAATTTCGATCATAATTGCACTCATGAAAAAAACAATTTTTTCGAAGTGAGAACTTCTAGGCGCGTTGAGCACTTTTTTGGGTGGAGAAAAACATTGGATTTCGCGTCATCGTCACGACCCGTCCCGTGTCCCGTTATCGCGAGGTCAATGAATAGCAATAAATTTGAAGGGTGCAGTATCGCATCTCATCTCATATTATGTAGTATTTTGTAATTATGATTAGATTCTATTCTAAATTGGTATATGGAAGTTTTCGGGGTCGGAGATTATGATTCTTTCGTGAAAATTAGGATATTGAAGATGGCTGACGAGTTTTATAATAATTATGATCCCATTCTATTCAAAATTGGTGTCTGGGGGTTCTCGGCGTCGGAGATTATGATTCTTTCATCATGGCTCCACCACCATGGCGCACGAGTTTCGTAATTATGATTCTATGCCATTTGAAATTTGTATCTGGGGTTTTTTGGGGTCGGAGATTATGAATCCCGAAATGAAAAATTCAAGATGACGGATTCAATATGGCGGACGAGTTATGTGATGATGATTCTATCCTATTCAAAATTTATATATAGGGGTGTTTGAGGTCGGAGATTATGATTCTACCGTCAAAATTGGGAAATTCAGGATTGCAGATCCAATATAGCGGACAAGTTTTCTAATTTTATTATCCGATTCTATTCAAAATTTTTACTGGTGTTTCGGGGGTCGGAGATTTTGAATCATTTGTCAAAATTAGGAGATTCAAGCGAACACCATCTCAAAAGTTTTTGTTAGTCTATCTTAGACAGCGAATGTTTTTAGGTAATAAAGTTTGTCGAGTTGATAAAAATTCTGTTTGATAGTGATAAAACAGTGTATAGTGTGAGTGTGATTATATCGTACCAAAGTTTCCAGGATTCCCTGGTTTCGGTCTTCAACATAACGGTGAGAAATTGATTTGCCATCATATGCTTTCTATATCTCACAATCCATTTTGTTTTAATGGTCAACTTTTTTTAAATCATTTGAAAATCGAATAATAATGAAAAAAATATAAGAAAATTATGTTCATGCTGATATAAAACTCACAAAGTTATTGTATGAGGAATTTTAAAATGAAATATTTTTCTTGAACAATCTCTGTTTCTCCAAAACTAACAACATTTTCTATGAGAGATGTGAGGCTGCATCTTGATATTCTGATGTTTACTATTTCTAGCTCACACATTGGCCATTTTCATGCTGATTTAAAACTTACAAAGTTATTGTATGAGGAATTTCAAAATAAAATATTTTCCTTGTACACCCTGTTTCTCCAAAACTAACAGCATTTTCTATGTGAGATGTGAGATGTGAGGATGAATCTTCATATTCTTATGTTCTTATTTCTAGCTCACACATTGACCATTTTGAATGAATAACCCTGTATATATTTCAAATTAATATCACGGAATTCATTGAATTTCAAAAATCTTCCCCAAAGAAGATGTAAGTGGAATATGAAGTATCTACCTACGATAATTCTCTAAAACATGAACTGGATGTTCGATAACATCTCCAAATGTCTCGAAAAAAAAGCGGCTGCTATATTTTCAAATATTTTGTATGTGGCTGACTTTCCCGTTGCCTCGCCTTTCTGCCCATTCTTATGAATTTTTGCGACATATCATTTGCAGCAGCTTGCAACACTGGCTTTTCAATTATTGATTATATCCCGGTTAGTTTGAAGTTCATCTGAAGGTCATACAATTCAAAGTGGCACGTGGCGGACTGCGGAAAGACGGGGAATCACCGCGCGACCAATGAATATCCCCCCGGTTCGCCGCGGGAGGGAGAGAGACATATAACGATTTCTCGCTCAGTTTTGTTTTGTTGCCGTGGCGGTATTATCCTTTGTGAATATCGCCATATCAATGGATCCAAAATATGATAACTGTACTCTGAGACGAATGTTTTTGCATGAGTTTTAGAGTGAAATAACCTGAACTTTTGACACAGATTAACAAAGCTTTTTGAAGTTTATTCCACAACTGTGCCATTCCTATTATTTCCATCTATATGCTGACATAATTATCGATCTCATGGATAGAATTGAAGAAATTCTGCTGAATTTGTATGTTTAAATTTTCAGGTCTACTTATATAATTATAATTCAGTGACAAATTCTAGGCCGTTTCAAACTACTCTATTTATTTTCTAGTTCTTTTTAGTTCGGTTCTCTATACCTCTTCATTTTTCCAAACTACTCTTTATTTTCTACTCACTTCTTTTTAGTACGGCTATCTATAAAAAGGTGTTTCATTAGTTTTTCAAACTAATATTTATTACAATAGCTGATACCCGGCAAACGTTGTTCTGCTATATACAATTATTTCCAGAAAATATTTTTTTAGTTAGGTAAATATTTATCAACATACTTTTATTCATTTGTTTTCTAATTCTTCTCCGACCCCGAAAACACCCAGATACAAATTTTGAATAGAATCGGATCATAACTACATAACTCAGTTGCCATCTTCCATCTTCAATTTCCTTATTTTGATGAACAATCATAATCTCCCATCCCAAAATCCCCCATATACAAATTTGGAATGGTATCGGATTAAGTTACAAAACTCGTCAGCCATATTGAATCTGCCATCTTGGATTTCCAAATTTTGATAAAAGGATCATTATTTTCGACTCCGAAAACCCCCCGATACCAATTTTACATAGAATCTGATCATAATAATTAAAAAACTCTTCCACCATATTGGATCCACCATTTTGAATTTCCCCATTTTGACAAATGATTCATAATTATCTACGACCTCTAAAACCTCCAGATACCAATTTTGAATAGAATCTGACCATAATTACAAAACTCGTCCGCCATATTGGATCCGCCATTTCGAATTTCCTAATTTTGATAAAAAATCATAATCCCTGACCTCGAAAACCCCCAGATACCAATTTTGAATGATATCTGACCAATCTGTTCTGTTCAGCACCAAAACATAGTCTGATGCTCTTAGATTCCATCCAGAGAAGAGCCATTCGCCTGGTGGGTGACGCCACACTCACTCACTCTTTGACATCATTGGAACACCGTAGAAAGGTCGGCGACCTTTCACTTTTCTATCAATACTTCCACGGGAAATGGCTATCATCCCTCCACTAGCAATACCAGTCAGACGAAGTAGACAAGCCCAGTCAGCACATCCTCTCGTTGTCCACCTCGAAAGATGTCGAACAGCACTTTATCAAAACTCCTTCATCCATAGAACGGCTAGGCTCTGGAATTCAGTGCCCGAGGAAGTATTCCCAACAACAAATAATCTCCAGAAGTTCAAAAAATACTCCAATACCTACCTCCTGTCCCTTTCCTCCCTAGGAACGCACGATGTTCTTTGAACATTATAGGGATTTCCTTTCGTGCGATAAAAGCGATAAAAAAAATAATTACAAAACTCGTCCGCCATATTGGATCCACCATTTTGAATTTCCTTATTTCGATGAAGAAATCATAATCTCCGACCTCGAAAACCCCCAGATACCAATTTTGGATGGAATCTGACCATAATTACAAAGCTCGTCCGCCATATTGGATCCGCCATCTTGAATTTCCAAAATTTGACTAAATATTCATAATCTCCGACCCCGAAAACCCCTGAGTACCAATTTTGAATGAAATCGGATAACTATACTCGGTCGCCATATTGGATCCGCTATTTTGTATTTTCTATTTAAAAAATAGATTACGACCGATTCTCATGCCTACCGAATACGCACAAAAAATTTCATACGAATCGGTCGAGCCGTTTCGGAGGAGTTCGACCACTATGACCGTGACCGTGACAGGAGAGTTTTATATATTAGATTTGTTCGTCTTACAAACACTCGGAGAACCTCCCCTTGAAATATGCCCAGATAATTGAATAATACATATTATCACGTCGCCTAGATTTCATAATATGTCCGAGTAATATGTATAACATTGGCAACGGTGTAAACGCGTTTGAATTCATCATCTCTCCTAAGCGCCATCTGCTTGCAATACAATGCACCATTCCTCTCTGCCGCAGTCTGTCATTTCGAACACTGCCATCTATCAGGTAGTGCCTGAACTACCACATCCTAGTTTCCTGCATTATATTCTTTCAAGAAATGGAGTTTACCGAGATCAGCTGGGATGAATGGATATTTTGTTGACAGAATAATCGTTTTTGTTGCTTCCTGTTCGAATGGAACCATTTCAAGAGCTGATATTTCAGTGACACCTCGCCGAATTTCCAACAATTGTACTGAGATCGAACATATTTCAATTTGAGACAAAAAAATTTCAATGTTTACGTTTTTCAAAAATCTGTATCTTCTATAAATGAATGAGTTTCGACTCCGTATGATAACCAGGCCCTAGTCCCAACCTTCTTCTTTACGATGATTTAATCAGTTTTTCAATTGAATCATTCATAAGCCCAAATAGCAACAACTAGTGCAGGCCTGCATGTCGATTTGGTTGAATCTCTCCTCTTAATAGCGGTTTCCATTGGGCATGAATCCTTGGATTATGAAAGTGCGATCTTGTGGATGTCTTGTTTGCTCTTTGGTCACTGTCACTGTCACCATGATGGTCACTACGGTAATGTCAACTGTCAACTGTCAGTCAGTAGTGTCAAAATCAGCTGTGGGTTGTGGACTTCGTGAAGTGAAGTGCGATTTGGTTAATTGGTTCTTCCAGAATTCAGGAATCATTAAATACATTATATATTAATTAATCATTAATATTATTTTGTGTAGTAGAACGGTAGATATGAGCAATGGCTGCTTGGATAGGAAAGTTGGAAAATCAAAATCAAAGCGACAATTTCAACAATGTCGTGGTTACTCATGATCTACAGGACTGTCTTGATGATAGTCTTGATTTTAATTTCAACATTTATGCAATAGAAAATGATCGAGAGACAGATATTTCAGGAAATGCGACTATAAAATCTAGTGATAAGTCTGGGAATGTTGAAAATGTAGAAGGGAGTGTTGGGTAAGTCTTGCTTGGATTGTCATCAAAATCATCACCATTTCAAATAAGAGATGTAGGTATTTTAATTATGTTTCACTATAAACATATTAGTGTAATGTAAACAAACTGTCAAGGGTACACCTCCTCTAAATATTTCATAACAATGCCTACTTAATAAATGAATAGGTTTATCAGATGAGATAAAAAACTTGATTTGCTTGCCTACAAATATTGTGTCATAATTCCTATTCTATTCTAGATATGTTCAGCACACAGTATCCACAGATGAAATCCTAATGCAAATCAACCCTGGATCTCCCAATAAAATGCCAGAAAAACCATCTCATGCCACATTAACAATAACTGCAACAAATCCTGATACCAAAGAAACAATAGTAAATAGATTTCTTTGTGAATATCAAGGATGTTCTCGAACATACAGCACTGTGGGAAATCTGAGGACTCACATGAAGACCCACAAAGGTAGGGTCATAGATCTAAATGTAGGGTGAATCAAGTTTCAAACAGGGATTTTTTTCCTTTTGAATATTGAAGTTGAGGAATTCTCCCTTGATATAAGTAAACTTATTTGAATGATACACATCTTAATATATTTCCTAATGAGTAGTGAGTTTCTAGGAAAAATTAAATTGGTTACAGTATATTTGGGCTCAGATCAATAAAAACTGAATCTTGAAAGTTTGGAATCAAATCCTTTTGTTCCCTTCAATGAAAATTGGGTCTCCTACTTTAACACTCAAATTCTCAAACAGAATAGCAAGCAATTTGCTATATTTATTCTGCTCTTATTCTGTACCTGTTGATGATGAACTATTAGGTTATTAATGTTATTATTATTATAACTGTTAGTTATAATATTATGTAAATAGGGCTGAAAGACTTCAGTCAATGGTCTTTTTGAGTATACATTTAATAACAATAGGTCTCTCTGGGATCTCTCTCTCTCTCTCTCTTATTTTTTTATAACTAATATTCAATATTTTAGTCATTAGTACTCAAATACAGGATATTATTATGTCACAACAAGCTTACACTATCTCTATATCCAAAATCAGTCAGGAGACATCCATGAGAATATCCATGCTTATATTTCAGAATAGGCTCTCTTCATTTAAAATATTTTCAGCAATGTGGTGTTGCTGCTTCTATCAAAAAGTAGCAACAACATTGTTATTCCGAATAAAATACCCTGTACTTTATTGCATTTTTAGATTCTCCCTGAAAAGCTGATTTCATTGATATATCACACTTGAGGTCTACCGGAAATGATTACAGAGATATAGGGTGTTCAAAATCGAGATTTTTCAACTTTTGGATTTGTTTGTGTTGAAACTATTTATAATCGGCCAGAACGGCTCACATGTCCCTATCTCAACTTTAGATTTACTATTTACTGATATTTAATCGGAACAGATACAGGGTGATCAGAATTCTGAATCTTGAACCACCCTGTGTCTGTTCCGATTGAATATCAGTAAATAGTAAATCAAAACTTGAGATTGGGACATGTAAGCCGTTTTGACCGATAATGAATAGTTTCCACACAAAAAAATCCTAGAATTGAAAAATCTCGATTTTGAACACCCGATATCTCTGTAATCTTTTTCCCCAAGTGTGATATATCGATAAAATCAGCTCTTCAGGGAGAATCTAAATTGCAATAAAATACAGGGTGTTCTATTTGAAATATCAATGTTGCTACTACTTTCTAGTAGAAGCGGCAACACTGCATTGTCGAAAATATTTCTAATGAAGAGAGCGTATTCTAAAATATAAGCATGCACATTTTCATGAATCTCTCCCGACTGATCCTCAATATAGAGATAGTGTAAGCTCGTTGTGACATACCCTGTATACTATTATCCAACTAGGAAATAAATTCTTTCAAATGAATTATCGATTCGCGCAATTTTCGATTCGCCCAATTTTAGATTCGCCCAATTTTTGATTCGCCCAATTTTCGATTCTCCCAATTTTTGATTCGCCCAATTTTTGATTCGCCCAATTTTCGATTCGCCCACCATCTCCGAATATACCCGAACGATGCGATGTTGCCAAATCTGAATGCAAATTCATTCTAGGCTATCATTATTGAATATTTCAATTTTTGATACCCATAATACAGGGTGGGCCACCAGTAACGCCTCGGTCTCTAGAAGGCTAACCACTTATCTTCTTGGAATTCTTCCTCTCTAGGAAGTTGCATGTCAACATAGGCTACCATTTAAAATTATCTCGAAACATACAGGGTGTCCCCAAAAACCATAAAACACTGAAGTAAAACTTTTTTCTATCGAACACCCTATATATTATTTCATTTTGAGATTCCCCCTGATGAGCTGATTTCAACGACCCATCATACTTGGGGTCTAGATAATTACTGAAATATAGGGTGTGAAAAATCGAGATTTTCCAAGTTCAAGAATTTTTTGTGTCGAAACTATTCATAATTGATCAAAACGGCTTACATGTCCCTATCTCAACTTTTGATTAACTATCTACTGATATTTAATTGGGACATATACCGGGTGATCAAGATTCTGAATTCTGCACCACCCTGTATTTGTTTCAATTAAATGTCAGTAGATAGTTGATCAAAAGTTGGGATAGGGACATGTGAGCCGTTTTGACCAATTATGAATGGTTTAGACACAAAAAATTCATGAACTTGGAAAATCTTCTCACACCCTATCGAGCACCCTATATCTCAGTAATTATAACTGCTAGACCCCAAGTATGATGGATTGTTGAAATCAGCTCACCAGGGAGAATCTCAAAATGAAACAATATATAGGGTGTTCGATTGAGAAAAGTTCAACTTCAGTGTTTTGTGATTTTTGGGGACATCCTGTATGTTTCAAAATAATTTCAAATGGTAGCCTATGTTGACATGCAACTTCCTACAGAGGAAGAATTCCAAGAAGATGAGTGGTTAGCCTTCTAGAGATCGAGGCGTTACTGGTGGCCCACCCTGTATGTATGTATGGTACATATTTCGATTCACCCAATTTTCCATGCACCCAATTTTCGATTCGCCCCAAATTCGACCGACCCGAATTTCGACGTAATATGAGGACGGACAATATTCTTTTCTGCATAACGAAAGAGACTACCTTTTCCAAACTACCTAACCTAACCTAACCTACTTAACGCCTAAATGAACGTTCTTCCTAGAAAGTATATTTTTCGCATACTTAATTACTTGAGAGAACATAAGAGACTTCTTTTTCAAAACAATCTAACCTTACTCGGCCTAAGTGAATAATCTAACCTCAGTATACAGGGTGTAACTGAATAAGTGTAAAACATTTGAGGGGCTGATTCCTTATCGAAAAAAAGATGGGATCTTTCATATAAAGCAACTTCATTGGAGCATCCCATGTTAAGATACAGCCCCTTGAAGGGGGTACATAAAATTTGTTCATCAATTTTTTTCACAAGCACTAAAAAAGTTACAGTATTTAAATTCACCTGGCATATTCTACTACCAAAAAGACACTTAGCCACTAATTTATTTGGTTCACCCCATGGTTGTGAGGGGTGGAAAACGCAACACCTAAATTTTATTTCCAATGTAACTTTTTGTCTTATTATTTGTTTACCATTTAAAAATTTATTTCCGATAGCCAGTTTCATTCTAAATAAAAAATGTTCCTTGAGTTTTTTGCCCCAAATAAACCAGTTGGCAGCAAAAAAATATGTTACGATCAACTACAGAGATACATCGTCATAAATGCGAACTGGATTTATTGTCATTTTGTAGTTACTACCTGCGTTAAATAATTAAAGGGATTAAACCATGGGGTAAACCAAATAAATTACTGGCTAAGTGTCTTTTTGGTAGCAGAAAATGAATTCTGTAACTTTTTTAGTGCTTGTGAAAAAAATCGTTAAACAATTTTTATGTACCCCCTTCAAGGGGCTGTATCTTGACATGGGATGCTCCAACGAAGTTTCTTTATATGGAAGATTTTATCTTTTTTTCGATGAGGAATCACCCCCTTAAATGTTTTACACTTATTTAGTTACACCCTGTATTTTTTGGAAAATTACTTGAAAGAACAAATGAGACCCCTTTGTTTAAATAATCTAACTTGACTCGTTCAAATGAACCCTCATTCTAGAATGTACAGGGTGATTCAGGTTTTAAGGCACAAACTGAAATGAAAAAAGTTCATATAAACATTAGTCCGATCTCGTTTAGTAGCGGAGCTACAGGGGGTCAAAGTTAAATTATTTTTTTCTATTAATTGAAATATATCGCTTTGAAATTTGGTGTGGTCTTTACTTTCTAGAAGATCATCATTTCAAGCCATTTGAATATTTTTAAAATTTACAGGGTGATACATTTTTGCGGGTAGAGACTTCTTTATCCTCCCCAAACTTTTTCGTAGTACGCCTCTGGCATCTTTCAGTGATCAAATTGTGTGGATCGTTCAATTTAGAGGCTTTTTTGCTTCTTCATTTCTTTCGAGAAAATAACCGTTTTTGAAATAAATAAGCATATACGTTCTAAAACATGTTAATTTTGCCTATGTTTCGCTAACATCCTACAGGGTGTTTCATGAGCAGACTCACATAGCCGAATGCTTGATAGGGAAAATCAATACGAGTTGATGTATATATATGAAAATATTTTTTGACCCTCCATAACGAAGATACAGGGTGTTACGTGAAATTGCTATATAACTTTGATCGTCGATAGTACAGAAATGATTTGTCGTAATCTACTGAAATTTGGCAGCGACGTATCATTATTAAAACTATTCAAGATGACATATTATGGAAAAAAATATCCAGGTCCGGACTTGGGAAAATTTTATGTTTTATTGTTATGGCAAAAAAGTTCACTTTGTGACCGCTTTTCTCGAAAAATTCCATCAGATTCAGGAAGATCAGACAAAATTCTATGAGAACTGCTCTTCAATTTACACGGCACACTTTGTCCGGTTCAATAAAATAATATGGAACAAAATCGTTCGAATGAATTTTAAATTTCGACCTGGCTGATAACTGTCAACTTTCAACTGGTATCATGTTAATTGATTTTTCCTACATTTTTGTTGAATAGTAATTGACAGAAGAATAGACGAGAAGAAGAACACGATATTTTTTTATCGGAATTCCAGATAGATATTATTATTCCTGATCCTGACTTTGTTTTATGGGTGTCGCTTGAAGTGAGATATCGAGTAGGTCCGGTTTTTCATTTGTGTGACGAGACGTGACGTTTGTTGATAATCCGAACTGATAGGTAGGTACTAGGCTAGTACTAGGTAGGTACCATCTGATGAAATTACGACATGAGGATTCATGTGCCCATATTATGGTGATTTATCAAATTAATTATGCCATCACGCATAAACTTAGCTCCATTTTATGTTATTGATACACTTCTGCAAGTGACATAAGGATATGCATTTGCTATTTATTCAAAATCCCTAATGTTCATCATCGTGAAGGTTTAACTGCAAGGTATTCTTGGGTCTGGGAACATTCTATGGTATTAAACATGTTCGTCTTGTTCAGCATTTGGAATATGAAGTGGCACCTAGAGTGTGAGAATATTTCGATTACCAGTGTTTACCTATCAACAAACGTCATGTTACATAAAATAAAAACAGGGCCCACTTTATAATAAATTTATAAAATAGAGTCACGAGTAATCATATCTATCTAGCAGTTCGATCAAAAACTAACATGTCAAATCATTAAAGAATCAGTACTAATCTCTTCTGTCAATTTCTATACAATGAAAATGTACAAAAAATCAATTTACACGAATCCATTCAAAAGTTGAGAGTTATCAGCCAGGTCGAAATTGAAAATTCATTCGAACGTTTTTGTTCCATATTTTTTTGTTGAACCGGTCAAAGTGTGCCGTGTAAATTGGAGAGCAGTTCTTATAGCATTTTGTCTGATATTTCTGAATCTGATGGAATTTTTTGAGAAAAGTAATTACAAAGTGAACTTTTTTGACATAACAATGAAATATAAAATTTTACCAAGTCCAGACCTGGATATTTTTTTTATAATATGTTATCTCGAATAGTTTCTGTAGAGGTACGTTGCTGTCAAATTTCAGCAGATTACGACGAATCATTTCTGTAATATCGACCATCAAAGTTATATAGCAATTCCACATAATACCCTGTATCTTCGTTATGGAGGGTCAAAAAATGTTTTCATATATATACGTCAACTCGTCTTGATTTCCCCTATTAACCATTTGGCTATGTGAGTCTCCTCATGAAACACCCTGTATTTTCGTTGAAAGTGCAACATAGGCAAAATCTCGGGCAAAATTAACATGTTTTAGAACGTATATGCTTATTTATCTCAAAAACGGTTCGTTTCTCGAAAAAAATTGAAGACCAAAAAAAGCTTCTGAATTGAACGATCCACACAATTTGATCATTGAAAGATGTCAGAGGCGTACTACGGAAAAGTTTGGGGGGAATAAGGAAGCCTCTCCCCCCAAAAACGTATCATCCTGTAGATTTTGATAATCTTTAAATGGCTTGAAATGATGATCTTTTAGGAAGTATTGACCACACCGAATTTCAAAATAATATCTTGAAAAGTAAGCGAGATATTTCAATTAATAGAAAACAATAATTAAGCTTTGACCCCCTGTAGCTTCGCTATTAAAAGAGATCGGACTAATGTTTATATAAACTTTTTTGATTAAAATGATGAGATCTATCTTCCATTTCAGTTTGTGCCTTAAAACCTGAATCACCCTGTATATTCATAGTTCAACAAACGAAAATTGGGTGAATCGAAAATTGGGTCAAACGAGACGTTCCCTGTTTTTGTCAATGAAATGTATGTAAACAACTGGAAGGGACCCACTGTGAACGACGAGTGAGGCAAAAATATTTTTCAGGCAACCCGCAGTGTTTACGGATACCTATCTCTCTCTATCTTGTGTTGGCTAATGGGAAGCGCTCGCATAATTTGAAATATTTTCTCGTTTTTTGCTTCTATTTAAGAGTAAACGTGATTAAATAAAAATATTCATTTAGGAAAAAGGATAATGTTGTAATCAATTATCATTAAAAAATTATTACTGATTTTTTTATTGACTTTAAAATGAAATTTCAATATTACTCTTACAGGATCAGGAAGTCAAATGAATACAAAATTGAAATTATATATTTTTATTCAAATTTCACAATATATTGTACAGGGTGAGCGAAGCACAATGTCTCAGAACTATCAGAAGGAAAAGAAAAACGATAGTTGAATTTTGAAAAGAGGTTCTTGAATGGTATTGATGAGTGCATTTTGAGCATAATTTCCATAGGTTCCCATTCCTCCATTAGGTCACTCATTAATTGTCATTACTATACCCACTGTTGGAAATTGATTGAACTACTTATTCTTTCATGTTTGAAATTTTTAGGTCTCTCCTTTTTACTTTTTGTCTCAGTGTGTTCACTTTTCTCCTCAATACAATATTCTTCTCTAATGAAACAGTTTGAGTTTCTTCATTGATCAACTTCGAAACTTGGGAGCTGGAAGTGGTAGGCAAGTCAAAGTCAATGACATGGGAAACTTCTTCCTTTGGACCCAAGTTATGAACGTCCACAGATGCATCCTGAAAACAAATTACTAGCTAGTTTTTTTATTTTAAATAGGTGCAAACATACTTCTTTTTCATTATTAATCAACTAGGTACCTATGAGTTTTCTTATTTTCCTAGGGGAATCAGCATTTTTTTATAACAAATGCTGAGGAAACGAAAATATACTGGGTACAGCATCTGCTTTCAAAAACCTAGCAGTACCTGGTATGCCTGAATAATCTGTTGGCAGGAAATGCTCCCCACAAAGCTTGCTGCTTTTAGTTGGAGTCCAATTCTCACTAGGAACTGCCTTTATCCATAATTCGAGAATGTCTGGTCTTTTGAATGGAAAACTGAAATAAATAATATTACTCAATATCAATATGGAAGTATTTAACTTTGACAAATAAAATAGGTATAGTTTTTGAACATATTCTGAGACTGGACATTGTAAACCTAACTGATGATCATTTCATGAACTATATTTTTCAAAAATCTGAGAACAATATTCAACTTACCCATGGAATGCTAATTTCCTTTTGTTTTGTTCATTCTTCTTGCATCCAAAGGCGACACAATAAATCACCATTGTTTATCAATACTAATCACAAACCTTCTCAACAATCAGTTCAGTGTTCACAACAACAAATTCAGTCCTTTTGTTACAACAAAACACGCCAAATGAATAGATATTTCACCTCGTATTTCACATGAACTAAGACAATGAACTTATGTCTTCACTTTCTTGCCTGTGTAGATGACAGAAAAAATTTTTTACTACTTTAATTATTAGATAAAAGAAAATTTATACACCAATCCACCATTAAACAACACGAGTTGGAAGAGGACAGGTATCCGTAAATCATGCATCTTTGTTGCAGCTGCCCCTGACACACTTTGTGCTATTCGAGAGAACGATCGTATCCCTTCCAGTTGTATTGAGTTCATTGGTTTTTGTAGGTGAATACAGATTCAAATGTTCAGACCCTAGTTGTGGCAAAGCCTTCCTAACCTCTTATAGCCTGAAAATCCACATTAGGGTGCACACCAAAGTAAAACCATTCGAATGCAGTGAAGGGGGCTGTGACAAGGCTTTCAACACTCTGTATAGATTACGGGCTCACGAGCGTCTGCATAACGGCAAAACTTTCAATTGTGAGTCAGATGGATGTACGAAATATTTTACTACCCTGAGTGACCTTAAAAAACACATTAGAACCCACACAAGAGAAAAACCTTATAAGTAAGTGATTGGCGGGTGGATCACATTCATTTTATCACAACTAATATCATGGGACTGTGAATCAGTACTCAGAAGAATGATACCAATTCAATTTTATATCGAAGTTGATACTAATAATAATAATAATAATAAAGTTTATTCAAAATTTTTACATTACATAAATCAAAAGCGAGATTAAGAGTATACATAATGGTTCATTTTACTTGGTTCTTTGGGATTTTCTCTCCTCGTTTCTATAAAATAAAAGTATTCGTATTATTTCAATATATTTGTAGAGGGACAAATCAGATGATTTGCCCCAAAATGTCACTGCGTTTAACAAATTTTTCTATCAGGGAGTCTAAAAGAAAAATCCAGTAGCTTGTCAGTGACAATTTGTTTGAAAAAATTTTCGAAGGAAAGAAATATAGATATATTGAAAAAATATCGAATTTGTACTTATCTTTGGACGTTTCGGGACCTATTCTGCTCCCGTTCTCAACATGTAAATGCAAATTATTTTTCCTTGAAAGTTGTGCTGCGTATAGTTTGACACTTTTCAGTGTCATACTGATGTTGGCATATGAATGAGTGATTTTAGTCTACAAATGAGTTACAGGATGTTTTCATTAATTGATCTTGAATCTACCATTTTCATGTTCAGTTTTCAGTAGTGAATACCATGTTCTATCAATATCAACTGAACAGGAAGCAATGCTATTGTCTCCGTTTAGAAGAATGCAAGCGGATTCCTTTCTCTTACTAATGTCTTTCTTGCTTTCAGAACTATCCATTCACTTCGTCTACTATAAAATGGTGCTTTTAAATGTAACCCTTTTGGTATCACTCCATTATCACGACATTTGCAAAGAAGAGTTAAATTATTTTCCGCGTGAGACAGTTTTATATAGAAATCTTCAAGCTTTCGGAACTGATGATTGATGTGAGGCCCATACCTATTTGTTAAATACTGTCTGTAGGTTAATCGAGGAGGTGGTACATTCATTTTACTTGGTTCTTTGGGATTTTCTCTCCTCGTTTCTATAAAATAAAAGTATTCGTATTATTTCAATATATTTGTAGAGGGACAAATCAGATGATTTGCCCCAAAATGTCACTGCGTTTAACAAATTTTTCTATCAGGGAGTCTAAAAGAAAAATCACTGACAAGCTACTGGATTTTTCTTTTAGACTCCCTGATAAAAAAATTTGTTAAACGCAGTGACATTTTGGGGCAAATCATCTGATTTGTCCCTCTACAAATATATTGAAATAATACGAATACTTTTATTTTATAGAAACGAGGAGAGAAAATCCCAAAGAACCAAGTAAAATGAATGTACCACCTCCTCGATTAACCTACAGACAGTATACATAATGGTATTGAATAAATAGAGAAAACCTCACACAGTATAAATCAATTTGAGACAGAAGTAATTAATAAATACAAATGTATTTCTTGTTTTCCATTCAATCATTGAATATAAGTACAATTCAGTAGTGTTTCAAATTTCGTAGATATACAGCGTGTCTCATATTTCGTAGATATACAGCGTGTCTCATTTCAAACGCCCCACCTCCATATCTCAGCTATCAGTCGTGCGATCTCAACCAAATTTGTATAGGTATGAATAATGAATAATCATCAATATGACCAGTTCTTCAAAGACAAACATCATTTTAGACAGTGCCGTGCATTTCTATCGAAATGAATAGGGCTTAGTTTTTTATTAAATCATATTAGGCATTTTTTCACAGGAAAACTGACATCATAATATTGTTCTTCATGGTTTCAAAACCACATATGTGGATATTCATAAGATGCCTATGAAGGGTTTCAGAAAAACAGGCACATCTAAACAGCATTTTTGCTAACGTAATAATTATTTACTCGGAAACGGTGAGTTCAACATGAAAAAGTATATACAGGGTAACTCACGGTCGATGGTACGTTGAACGTTTATGGAGAACGGGACATAGGATCATTCTGAAATTTTGGTTACTCACGTAGTTGCTCTTGGTCTATCGATCTAAAATATTTTCAGCTCTGCAGCGTTGCCGCTTCTATCGAAAAGTAGCAACAACTTTGTTATTTTCAGATTCTCTCTGAAGAGCTGATTTCATCGATGCCGCACACTTGGGGTCTAGCGGAAATGATTACAGAGATATAGGGTGTGAAAAATCGACATTTTTCAACTTTAGGAATTTTTTTTGTCGAAACTATTCATTATTGGTCAAAACGGCTCACATGTCCCTATCTCAACTTTTGATCAACTTCCTACTGACATTTAATTGAAACAAATACAGGGTCGTGCAGAATTCAGAATCTTGATCACCCGGTATATGTCCCAATTAAATATCAGTAGATAGTTAATCAAAAGTTGAGATATGGACATGGATATCGTTTGACCAATATGTATTGTTTCGACACAAAAAAATTCTAAAGTTGAAAAATTTCGATTTTTCACACCCTATAACTTTGTTATCATTCCCGCTAGACCCCAAGTGTGATATATAGCTGGAATCAGCTCTTCAGGAAAAATCCGAAAATGGAATGATATACAGGGTGTTCCATTGCAAAAATCCAAGTTGTTGCTACTTGAGTTGCGTTCTCCAGAAACGTCTAAAGTGCCATCCACCGTGCCGTGAATCACCCTGTATATATCGTTGGTATTTTTTTTTTTCAATTTAACCTATGATATAAGAAACAACAACAAAACATTGAATTCATTGAGAATATTTTGATAATAGGTGCTGATAATCTAATCATGATTTTCAAGTATACTTTATATTGACAAGTGTAAACATTATACAATATAGCAACACTATAATATAAAATACAATACAAATACAAATTCTGAGTACTGATGAGCCCTAGCTTCATGTGTGTTTATGCTAATGTGTTTTGCTAACTGCTCAGTCTAACAAAAAAATATCAATTCAGCTTGCTTTGATCATTGGGCTTTTATGAATTCGCTCTCATTAATATTATAGATATTGAATTCATGAAAAGATTCCTTCTGGATAATGGGCTTATATCACAAAAAAAAATTTATTTCATAATTCGATAAACTAGCTCACCACCGCAAACCGTTTCTTGCTGTGAGCTCCATACGTTTTATAAAAAATTATTGATATCCCCGATTTTTCGGACCTCTGAAAACGAGGCGATGATGTGACGTCAAAACCCTAATACTGAAACAAGACTATTCCAGACAGAGATGAATGATACATGATTTCTGACAGAGTGAACTAGCGCGAGATCACAGTTGAAAGAATTAATATATCAGTTGCCGCAGTCTCCGTCGTGCGTTTGGTATTTTCTTTCAACTATGACGAGATGAGGTTTCTACGTCATAAGAGGGTCTCTTTTCAGAAGGTACTATTATTTATGTCCAAAAATAAAACATTCCAGTTACTTTTTCGATCGAGTTATGTCGTCAATCATTATTTATGTATAAAAGGATCATTATAAACATGGTTTGAGTTAAAAGTTCTACTGAGGTGTACACGCCCGTTGGGTAAAAAATCATACATTTATTTCTGTAAATCTCTGAATTGTTTCTTCAATGAACTGGAACATTTTGGGGTGGAGAAAACTTGACATACCTATTGTCAAACCATAGATTGAAACCATATATCAACAAGATGAGTTATATTTTGAAATATTGAATGAATATGAATCGTATCTTTCTGAATCTGAAGTGGCCATATAAGATAAGATATAAGATATGAGTCTTTCAGCCAATTGAAAATCAAGTGATAGCTAGATCAGATTAGGATCCATGTGAGTGGAAGGTTACAGATCATTGTATGCACAGGGTGATTCAAACTTCCCGATCTTGGCTATAACAGGAAAAAGAAAACTGCAAACGCAAATTTGGCAGGGGGTATTTGAATAGCTGGGTGTTAGGTATATTTTTTCGTGTTCAAACATTTTTCAACCCTTTTCAAAATGGCGGTATTGACTTCAGAAAAAATATTTTTTCCACAAAGTTACAATTTTTTATACAGAGTGTCCCGAAATCAGTCTGCCAAACTTCACCAGCGGCTTCTACGACCAAGAATAGGAAGAAAAGTTCCAATGAACATGAATCGATAAATGTCTCCCAAGGAAGCTACGGCTCCCTGAAAAGGGGCTCCTGAAGATGATATTTCTTGAGTATTTCCGAAACGTCATATGATGAAATGGTGCGATCCGGCACAAGAACTAAACTTTACATGTCCAATGTAGTGAAATTGAGAATACAGGGTGGGACTACATTACATATTGCTCATACTTGCATACACTCTTTACAGAAAAAAAGGTGCACTTGTTCCGTATCGATCAGATGTATCATCTTAATGTAAAATCGATTTAAAAATATTGTAACATCTCACATATTATGCAGAACATTGCATTTGCATTTTTTTTCATAAACACTACATATGGAAAAAAGATGCACAAACATTGAGGTAGTTTTTCATCATCATTTTCCACTTTTACGTGCTGCTATGACATTCTGTCGTGAAAAGAAAGTAGTTTTTTTATAGCCAGTATGATTTGAAAATTGGTAACGTTAGGCAACACGGCAACATAATTGAGTTAACAATGAAAGACATAATTATGAGAAGGTATTCAGACCAGAGTGGTATTTGGCTAGACTATTTCACGTTCACGAAGCATAAATAGTTATTTATTATACAAGGGAAAAAAGTAGTAGATTTTAGCTCCAGGTTGTGTTGTCTCCCGACGCGTAGCGGAGGGAGACAAAAAACCGTGAGCTAAAATCTAATATTTTTCCCGTGTATAATACACTATTTTTTTCTATGACAGAAGGAAGGACGAATCAATTTTGAGAAGATATTACATTATTTCGAAATCTGAAAATTATCGACGTGAAATTTCAAGTTTTTAACAGTAGGGACACCTGCGTTTTATAGACATCTTTATCATTCTTTTGAAGTAATCAAATATCTGATGTCACTTTCTGTCAGTTCAATTCTGTGATTTGATTTTGAAAAATTGCGAATTCAGTAGTTGTTTAGTAATATACGAAACCGCGAAGTCGAATGGAAGATAAAAGGACTTGCAGTTCTTCCTCGGAGACGGTATTATTGACTCATATTTCGGAACTATAGCACAACAAAAGCCATTAACAGAGTATATATGTGATATATATCCGGGAAAAAAGTACTCACTTTTTTCCCACGGGAAAAAAGTAATTCATGAAAAGTGACATTTTATAACCTGCCAACAGAGATGAAATGCCTAACTTTTTTCCCGTCACAGAAAAAAAGCATTTATTATAAATGATTTGCTATCCATTCAGGGGGCCGTAGCTCCCTTAGAATACAGTTCTCGTCTCATGTTTATTGAAACTCTTTTCCTATTTTTGATCGTAGAAGCCGCTGGTGAAGTTTGGCAGATTAATTTCGGGACACCCTGTATATAATTTTTTCATGTTCATAATTTATCTGAGAACTTGAACGATGGAAACTTATTATTTCTATAGACGTTTAATCGTAGATTCGTGATTAGGTTTTCTCAATTCAGAATTTCTTTCCACGTCCTGTATGATGAACATCAATTTATCATACATCCAAAAACCATAAACAAACCCATTAGGGACTAAAATCGTGACATCCATCTGAAACTTCCCCACCAGCATCATCTTTCATCGCTTTCTAGATGTATCGAAACCAGTTGCGGCAAAGCATTCACAGCCAGCCACCACCTGAGGACTCACCAGCGCATCCATACAGGGGAAAAGCCCTACGCTTGCACCGAGTCCAACGAGTGCCAAAGAGCTTTCACGACTCCCCACAGCTTGAAGTCCCACATAAAAACGCACCAGAGACACGAAAAACAACGAGAGAAACCGGAACCACCCGATAGCATCGATCGAAGTGGTAGTTTTTCGGAAAAGGAAAACTATGCGGATGGGAACGTTTCCGATTTACTGGTGGCATCGGGCTCTGAGTCTTTGGGATTAGAAACGATTGCCAATGGTAATACACCTGTTTTTGTCGAAGAACCACTTGTTTTCAATAAGGGCACTTTGGATTGGGGTCATGTCGGTGTAGAGTGTCAGCAGAATTTTCAGGGTAACATTGTGTGGCGAGATGTTGTGAAAACTAATATTTTTGAGTGTTTGAGGCTCAAGTGGATGATACACGTTGACAAACATATGTTGTTTTCAGCATTTAGCATGATCTATACCAATATTATGTTTCACTCTCTATGATTGAGCTTGCTTTTACATACCTTTTTGAATATGCATCTAATGTTTGAATAAAACAATCTAATTGAAGAATACTGTTTCTTAAGTCAGTATTGAATGTTCACATGTATGGACACCTACTCTCCAAAAGGACACATCGACATTTTCAGTACTACTACCGGTAGGTATGTATTCAAGAATACAATAGAAAACAGTCTTGAGAACAATATTGGGTGCTGTGAGCATTGCTAAGACCTGTTATTTTATTCTGATTTTGATCAGGGAGTCATTTCTAAACCTACCAGTATCGCTGTCAGTCTCAAGTCAGATAAAGTTTTGTACTACTCAACTACCACAACAGTCTATTGAATCATATTTTTTATGTAGATGTGAAACAGGTTTGATACTTAGATTCATGGTTGTACTCTCTCTTTTGTCCTCTAGTTCTCTAGCTTTCTTACTGAAAAATAAAATATTGAATATCCTAACAAAGGGAACTTTTCTATTCATGGGGACATTCTGTTTTCCAAATACGTACATGCAACATTTCTAACTTTTTTCTAAATGTTGACCTGATGATTAAGCACCATCAATGAGAAATCCATCCATATCAGATTGATCATCTTGAATAAATTTGAAGAAAATGAAATGAACAATTGACAATTTTCTTCACTACTTTATGAATTGGATTTAGAAGTAGATTCAAAAATGTAATAAACAAATTCCAGAAAATTAGTTAGGAAAATTGATGGGAAATGAGGGTGTATTGTCAGTTCCTCTCTCCTTTCCTCTACAAGACATTTTCAAATTGTTTACGGTGGCAGGCACCAAAAAAATGGTGAAAAGTACAATTTTGATGATTCCTCCAAGAATATTCAGAAATCCTCAGATCTGCATTCTTGTATCATCTTCTTAATATTAACAAAAACGAGCTTATGCTAACTGGAAAAAATTCCGATAAACACTGATAGTTGAATAACTATTTTAGGTGAATAAGCACCTTTCTTTTGCAAAAAATGTCAATGCGAAATTTTCATTTTCAATTATTTGCTCACTAAGTTGTTTGAACAGCTTTTTCGTAATTATTTCCTTTAAATACTTGGGATTTTCTCTCCTCGTTTCTATAAATAAAATCAAAGATGATACATACACTAGCACTAGATAGTCAACGCCTGTGTGACAATTGGCAACGCTGCAATGGGATCCGACCGTACGCAAGGAGGTACAATATTATCGGCTGTGCTGATTCGTTGATTAAATAATGAATAGATGCGCACAGCCGATTATCACCGCTGTGTTTATTCCCGATTGACCATTCGTACATCTACGATGCCTATCTAGGGTTTGTATTATCTTTGATAAAACTAAGCTAGACACTATTTCTGTCTTAATTCAGGAAAGAAAATTCTACAGTGAGATTTCATACAGGGTACCTATTTCCCAACTACACATTGTATTATTTGAATGCATTTAGAAAAAACGTTGTATATTTCAGTATGATGCTTCTAATAGCACCAAAACCAAACTGCTGCGTTCCGTATATACATACAGGGTGTATCTTAATAACACCGAGAAATTTCAAGGAGTTATTCCTTGTGATATTTAAGGAAATGAAGTTCATATAAACATGTGTCCTAACTTGCTTTGTTTTCGAGATACAGGGTATTAATATTTCCATGAAAAATCGTTTTTTTTTATTCATTACTCAGTTGTCATTTCATCAATTTCAATAAAACGTAGTGGCTTTGAAAAAATTAATATGGGGTTTCTTCTGGTGCAATTAGATTCGAAATAATATTCCCAGATGCGTCACAGTGGGAGAATTTATATGAATTTCATTGTAAGCCACCGGTTTTTCCGAGTTTCATATCTTTTTTAGATTGAACTATTGAATTAACAACTTTTTTATGTTTTGTGTAATTTTTGTATCTAGCCTAATTTTTGAGGAAACAATAAAAATTCGATTTGACTCCAAATTTTAATGTTGGCGTGTTTTCAAGACTTTCATTGAGATTACTCAATGACTCCAATTAGAATCATTTTGAAATTTTGGGACTTTCTTGGTCTCCAACCATACTGAATTTTGGCACCATGAAAGCTTATACAGAGGGGTTATAAATTAAAACAATTGATACTTCCAACTTCAACATCCTGTATCTCAAAAACGGAGCAAGTTAGGACACATGTTTATATGAACTTTATTTGCTAGAATATCACAAGAAATCACCCCTGTATATTCTCTGAGGCACTGCATAATTTTTCATTTCAGGCCAGGAACAAGAACATACTACTACTGAAGTACCTGCTCTACTGAACCAAAACATAGACACCCCAATAACTTTTGAAAATATCGATTACACCTTTCTACCAGCACCCACAGAAAATCTACTAAACGCGCCTAGCTACGTCATCACCCACAATACCCCCGAAAAATACGCCGCAGTCATAGAAGAAGAATTCGAAATGGCCAACAGGTTGAAAGACTATGCCACAGTCACCACAGAAAACGTGCCTTTGCAACTCCTATTCAACATCGGCACAGAAAACATCGAAAACGGCAAAGAGGGCGAAACTTTGATCAACAACGTGAATTTAGAACTGGGTGATAATACTGTCATCACAGAGTTCCAAAATCTGAGCAACATCGATACCAGCGCACAAGACGAATTCAACTTGTTGCAGTCAATTTACAAATCTGGCGACAGTGTCAGAATCACAAGTCCCAAAGTCAAAATCATCAGCGAGGAAATATTCCCCAAAACTAATGGAGTACAAAGTATCATTGACCTTGGCAACCAAAGTTACCAGCCTGCCGACCTAGAACTAGAAACACCCGCTATATTAAATAATAACTTCCCTGCTGATTGGCCCAATTTACCGACTTACACTAGCGATAGTACAAATGCTGTTTTCACCGAAAACGATACACAGGGTGTTGTGCAAAACTGTAGCTGTAATTGTAGTTCCAACGACTGTGGCTGTGCTAAATCCAAACCGAAACGAGTAGTGGGGAATGCAAAGAATTGCTGTGCCAAAGAGACCACTTGTAGTACTAATGCCAAAACTAATACAGGTTGTTCAGGGCTGTCGAATATTTTGAAAATCGTTCGTGGGAACGCGATTTGCAAGGAGAAATCGGACGAGTGTTGTGTGGTGGTTTGTCTGAAAACCATGGATCAACTGAAGCAGATGCTTTCGCTGGCGTCCTCTTGCGGTGGGTTCGAGAATTTCAGGATGGGGTGTGTGAAGAGCGATTTATGTAGTGGTTCGCCGAATTGAGGGAAATTTTGTTGCTAGAATTCCCGCGCCAATTTCTAACTTGACTTTTCTAACCTAAATGATTGAATTATGCCACTGATGATTTTTTTAGCTGCGACTAGAGACACGTTGATGTGCCCGTAAATTATTCATGGGTTGCGTGCGAGAACTGTCAGATGACCCTAGAGTTGAAACATCGAAACACAACCTCACTTTTCTTATTTGTTTACAAGTGATTGAAATAGTTTTTCACAATTATTTTGGCGTACGAATCGTGTTTTTCGGCTATTCATTAATATGTGCATGCCATCACATTGTGCTGTTTTACAATGCACAAAAAATGCAGCAGAAAACGAAGGAATCCAGTTGGTACATTATATTTAAAAGTAAGTACCTAACTATAGTCACTCACATATAGTTTTCATTTTGAAATTTGGTAATTTCTCTGATTTCTCATCCAAATTCCTCCTGCAATAGAAGCTAATAGAAATACTCGTGAAATTTCTAAAATAATACAAGAAGATTGGATTCATGCAAAAAAACTGGAGGAGTGGTCTGACATGCTGAAGAAATATGATCGTGTGTGCTGTGACATTTTCAATCTATTAGCAGTATTAGCTTCTATTGCAGACGTGGTAGAAGGAATTTTAATAAGAAATGACAAACTTCATAATGACAACTATGTGAGATTACTATTCACCTAAAGAAATCAATAAATTACCTTCTTCCCACGGGAGAAAAGTGAGTACTTTTGTCCCGGATATATATCACATATACAGGGTGAATCTGAAAGTTAGGTTTATTGAACAGGATTTATATCACATCAATATAAGTTGTTTGGCAAAAAATTGCTCGTATAAAATGTTTAAGATAACGGAATTATAGGTATTCAGAGGTTCAAAGAAGACCCCAACTATAAAACATTTTCTTTACATTTCTCGAAAAACGCTGAGAATTCGATATTAATCCACCATTAGATGCCTGCCCTACAGTTGCAATATTTCATCAGAAAAATTAATCCTAAACCATTCTTTATACATTTTCAACCAATTGATTTTCGTTTTAAAGTGAACTGTTATCTGTCATTTTTTACATAAACAATTTTAGGCCAAACAACTTATTTTGGCGAGATATATACCCTGTTAAATAAAAAACCTCACTCTCAGATTCACCCTGTATATACACCGTCTCCGAGAAAAAACTGATGCATGTCCTTTTATCTCCCATTCGACTTCGCGGTTACGTAAATTACTAAAAAACCACTAAATTCGCGATTTTTGAAATTCAAATCACAGAATTAGACTGACAGATATTTGATTACTTCAAGAGAATGATAAAGATGCCTGCAATGCAGGTGTCATTCTTGACTTTCGAGCAACCAGCATTTCCAAATATTTCTTATTCTCCATAACAAAATATCATGTGAATGTTGAATACTTGGCAGCATTGTGCTGAATGCTGAGAACTGACAAGACCACGCCCACACATATTGCGCCGTGGTTGTCACTTTCACCGATTCAAATGTCCTCTAGTGTGAATTAATATAATTATTATTCACACACATTTATTGTTAGCAATGATACACAAATCATGAGGGAACATTTTGAGACAATTACATTTTTATTGCTAATTAGTAGTATTACCTGAAGTCACGTATTACCAATACTCAATTGAGAATTTATGAATTATCGAATAGCTGATATTTCTGAAGTTCCCAATCGTATTTCAACACATGGCAACTGTGCTTCGGTCTGCGCCGACTTACGAAATCGTGGCGTCAGTTTCTTTCTACTGGCGGTAAATTTATAGCCGTTTGAAAATTACCGTGGCATTATTGATGATTTTAGCACCTGAAAATCGACCTAAAATCTTAAAAAATATATGAAATGGAAAGGTATTCGAGTGATGATTCTATTTAGGAAATAAAAAAAAGTCCACACACAAAGTCCATTATTGCATCTCGCGGATACTTATCGCATGTTATGAGTGGTGAAAATATTTTGTGGTCACATCAACGTGTCTATACATATAGTGACTTTGTAGTTTTTGTTTGTATATTGTGCGATGTTACAGAAATATATATTGAAAACGTCTAAATATATTGATTGACACTTTCAGAATTCTTTGTTTTCATTTCACAAAGCAGTGCGACGAGAATATATACATGATGTTTGGTTCCCCGACGTACATCTGAAAGGGGGTGGTAGGCAAGGACATTTCGAACATATTTTACCATATGAAATATACAAAGTGCTACGAATTGCGAGACATCATCATTTTGTCGAACATTTCATCTGATTGTATCTTCTTTTTTTTTGAAGTTTAATGTTGAATGTACATCGATATTGTACTCTTAATAGGATCCAAACGTGATAGAGAAATGATTTGGGTCTTCAGAATAACCAGAATTGAAGAAAAGATCCAGCTTAGAATTTTTAAGCGATTATTTCTCGAAAAGTTACACTGTATGGTTGTGATGGTTTGCAATGAAACACACTCCTTCAGTCCGTGATTTATTGATCTTTGAAAATCAGATTCCAATCTAAAATATGATGACATTTGCTTCAACATTTCTTTGACACATTGTGATGAAAGGAGATCCTACATTCTTTACATTCTCTAGATTACTTATATGAACGTAGAATAACTTACCTAATACCAGGGCTATCAGTAATATTAAGGATATGATAATATTTCTTGATACTATCCCAGAAAGGCTATCAAATTGGAAATTGGTCTCAACTCAATAAATGAACGATTGAATAATAAACATGTCTCTCAGAAACATCATGTACTGAGTATTCTGCTACATGGTTAAATATGTTCGAAATCACATTACCTACCACCTCCTTCCAAATATACGTAGATGAACCCCAAACACCCTGTATAATAAAAATAAATGAATAAATAACTAAATAACTGGAGTGACCTTGAAAAATCATCGAAACATCTACTGGTTCTAGAAAATACTTCAATTTCATTTACGTTCAGTCGTTACTAGGTAGTTTCACAATGACTCAGAAATTCAGGTGTCTTGAAGGAGAATCAAGTTTTTCACGTCGAATACATGATGATTACTGAAGTTGTTAATTTCATTAGTTCTTGGTTCTTGAAATCATATCTATCTGGGGAATCAATTTAGCTTTGCTTGGCAATAAGAAGGTATCGATATGGATATAGTCATAAAATTTTGAACTAACAGACCTCGCAAACGTTGTTTTGCTATATAAATTATTTCTATAATATATTTTTTCAGTTCAATATTCATCAAGACACTATTATTATTTAATTTTCTACTTCTTTTTAGTTTCGCTATCTATAAAACCGTGTTTCTTTAGTTTTTCAAACTACCATTTATTTCAACTTCTTTTTAGTTCACACGAAAGGATCATAATACCCGACTCCTATAAAAACCCCAGATGAAAATTTTGAATAGAATCGGAACATAATTACAAAACTCGCCCGCAATATTGGATCTATACCATCTTGATTTCCCTAATTTTGACGAAGGAATCATAATTTTTGATCCCGAAAACGCCCACTTACAAATTTTGAATAGAATCGGTATATAATAATTACAAAACTCGTCCGGTATAGGTATTGGTTTCCACCGTCTTGAATTTCCAAATCCTGCCCTTTCCAAATTTTGACAAAACAATCATAATCTCCGACCCCGAACACACCCAGATAACAATTTTGATGAGAGAGAGATCGGATCATAATTACAATACTCGTCCGCCATCTTGAATTTCCTAATTTTGACGAAAGAATCATAATCACCGACCCCGTGAACCACCAGATACCAAATTTGAATGATATAGGATCCTATATATAATGACAAAATCCGCCATTTTTGGATCCACCATCTTGAATTTCTTGATTTTGACGAAGGGGTCATAATCTCCGATCACGAAAACCCCTAGGTAGGTACCAATTTTGGAAAGAATCTGATTGCAATTACAAAACTCGTCCGCCACGACATTGGTTCCGCCATCTTGTATTCCCAAATTCCTCCCGAATTTTCAAATTCTGACGAAATAATCATAATCTCCGACCCCGAAAACCTCAAGATACCAGTTTAGAATAGAATCGGATCATATAATTACAAACCTCGTCCGATATATTAGATCCGCCATCTTGAATTTTTTAATGGTTCCGGGATAAAATAGTATCCTATATCCGTCTCCTGGTTCTCAGCTACCTCCCCACCAATTTTCAGCCAAATCGATCCAGTTGTTTCGGAGCCTATTCGATCAATACATACAAACAATGAAATCTTTCCTCTTTATAATATTATAGATTAGGTCATCTCTTGTTTGTTTTTTATTTGAATGCACTGGTGGACATAAATAACTTGACCACCTCTTTATTCAAATCACCGATGAGCAAAGTTGTTATCAAATTGCTAAAAACTCCTCAATTTTTGAGTTTTGGACAAAACTGTAATAGGCACTTTCGACTTAAAATTGTTCAAGGAATATGCCCATGTGAGCTATGGCCATCGTGCCATCGAGTCACGGGACAATGTGTATAATATATTTTTTCCAGTGTCACAAAGATAATTGAGGAAATCTGCATTTAATAACCTACCTTCAAATAGCTGTAGCGCCCATAAGAAGCATTTTCGGTAGTGCCACGTAGTGCTTACATTCGCCTGATGGAAGTCAATTTCGAACAAGGGGACATTTCGATGTCATACTGTCTGAAACCGCTTTGTATTTGTATTCCTATAAGCTTTATCGGGACAATTAAACGTCAAATAAAACAAGGAAATTCGAGAGTTAACATTTCTTTCCTTTATTGCCGTTCGGTCGGACAAGAAATAAAGAAAACTTAATTCGGAACTGTATGCCTAATGGAAAAGCACGAGAAAGATGGCGGAGAGTCAATAAGACCGTCGAAATTGCGCCGCTGGATGCCCACCTATTGCATAAAGTCATGAGGTTCATCTCGTTTGATTGAAATCCTCTCTTATTCCTTGTGTTCCCATTGAAAAACCCCACACTCCATGACTTCATTGTTTCGGCGAGCTCATGCATACTTTCATGCGCCCTTAAAATGGAAGATTTCCATCAATGCTTTTCGTTTTCGCGGCTAATGGAATGAGGAGAGGAATTCCAGTTACACACGGTTTTCCGCGGCTGTGTTTGAATTGCCTTT